AATACTGAATTTGCAAACACAGTACCAACAGCCTGATCTCAACAATTTCGAACATAAAGATTATTGCCAAGTAGAGCTGTAATAATCCTGTACCTACCATTGCAGTCGTAACTTGCACATTTGCATTCTTACAGAAACAGGCCTGACTTGTGAAGCCCAAAGTCGGCTGGGAGCCCCAATGTTGTGTGACTGGTGGGCACACTGCTCTGAAATAAGACACGTGAAGAGTGGAATAGAAACCCCGGGAGGGAACTGAGAACCGTTCTGTGAGACAGACACCCATGCTTACAGGTGTGATGCCCAAATCCATGGGGTCCCCACAAAAGCCAACAAAAGAGACCGAGTCCCATATGTCAAAGCAAAGAGCCTTTATTTTAATTAAGTTTGCAAACTCGGTCTCTCTGCACGTCCAACATATCAGAATAAACAGAGAGCCCCGAGCTCAATTAGAATAGGGTTTTTATAGTAGTAGAGGTGGGGGTGAGGGGTCTCTGAGGTTCAGGACCCCTGATTGGCTGACATTTGTCTAGGGATGTCCTGGTGAGGTGCACTGGCAGGTGATCCTATCTGTAGCGGTTGGAATGTCAGGCATTTCCTTTGAATGGTCTGCTCTTGGGTGGAGGGGTCGGGTAATCTCAGCTTGTGGTGTTTTCCTGCTACCAGGTATTGCTTCAGGGTAAACTGCTGAGACTCAGGCCTCTTATTTAAGTTTATCGATGGCCAGAGACCCAGGTGGTAATGGTTGGAAGTAAAGAACTTCCTTTGGGTGACCTGCCCAAACTTAGATTATCATGACTGGCCCCTATGACAGGCAGTCCCAGAATAAGATCTTACAGGGCAGTGCTCTGGGATCAGGGACACCCTTGTACCCCTTCCTACTTACCTGGATGCCAGCAGGAGAGAATCTGGTTTTCACTTACCAGTCTCAGACACACATTTCACAGTGGGCATGGCTGCGTCTGAGGATGTCATGCTCCTGAACTGTGGCATGAACAGTGACATTTACATGTGTGTGTTTGTTGATAGTTAACCCTGAATCCCTGATATCCAGACCCATTTAAAATATGAAGCTTCAGGAAGGAGGCAAAGGAGTGATGATCAAATGTCTGTTATCTGAAGACGTAACAATCAAACGAGCAAATGAGAATCCATTGTTCCACCCACAAAATTATATGTGAAATGAAGCAGGCATACCTTCCTTATGGTTCATTTCTTAAGTGGTCACAACATCCTAGGCTGTATAAATGTCAAACTACATGGTACTGAATTTGGTCATGGAATTGGCTTAGTCAAATCCTGCCCGCATTGTAGCCCATCTACAGTGCCCGCTAACTGTGGATTACACCCTGGCTTCCAGACAGTCTAGTCCTACACAGCACTGGGATGTCCTAGCAAGGTTCTATCTGTATTCTGCTTAGTCCTCTTCGACTATAGTCCCACTACATTCCTGCAATCTGGTAGCACGAAAGAGTCAGCTTAAAAGGTGCTTCCTCTGTATCCACTAACAGAGCCTGCACTCTTGAGAACAGGGAACTAGGGACAAAAGAGCCACTGGGCGCCCTCAGAACCAGTTTTCCTACATTCCACCCCTCAGTCAGACACTTTTCAAAAGCACTTTATACCTTTTTTTTGTTGTACCGATTTCTTTACATGGCTGTTCTTCATAGCGTTTAAAAAATAGTATTCTTCAGAATGAGGAAAACCAGAGACTAGGGGCTGAACGTGAAGGCCATCCACTTAACGTCTTTGCCTTCATTAAATTCAAAGCTGTTGTGAAGCAGTTTCCTCCACTCAGCAGCCTCTGTCCTCTGCGTCCGCCACATAGTTAACCAGTAGATGGATTGTATCCCTGCCGTGTTGCGCTGGTCCCTTCAAGACAATTTGGTAGCTGGTTTGGTTTCAGATTTATGTTTCTTTCTCATGGTATACACAAATTCTTAGCAAGATAACTGGTTAGAGTCAACCAGAGGCAAACCTGTGTGGCCAGGTTGGTGTGTGGTGTGGGTATGTTAATGTGTAGGAAATAGCATATAAACGAGGAAGTATAGATCTTACATTTGAACTTCATGGAAACAAATACTATCACTGTCTTGATTTGTGAAAGATGTCGAACATCACACAACACAATGAGGGACTTTCTTTCATACGGCTCCTACTGCCAAAATCTATGTTTATTTTCATGGCTACACATTTAAGAAATGCATTGCTTTCGCCACATCAGGGCTCGCACAGTCTTTCTTGTGCACAGGAATCTTGCTCCAGGCTGGAGTCACCCTGAGGACTGAGTAAAGCTATCCCTTCTCGTTGTTTTGACTCTTTTCACAGTAGGCTCCTGTCCCAGCAACTGAATCAACGACGTGGAAAACCACAAATCCACGCTGATTGATAACGAAGGCTTTAGAAAGGGGCTCACCCCAGCATAGCCTGTGTTCTTTCGCTCTAGTGTGGATCTCAAATTAAATGGTTTGAGGCTCAATAAACAGCATTTATATCTGATCCTAACGACTCTGAAGCTTTGGCTGCCTAATCTCCTGTTTGTAGACTAGAAAAGACACTTTGAAAAAATAAACAGGAAGATGCCAGAAGGAAACATTGGAAACCAGTTGGCTAGTGAAATAGAAGGATATGGTACGAGAAATGGTCTCTGTTTGTCACTTAAGAGATAGGGTTTTAAAGGGTAGGGATGCATGCTTGTTGAACAACCTCTATAATCCATAATTGAGGAGCCAGCAGACTATGACATGCAGGCAATTACACTATTTTTCTCAAGAAAACTTTATTGAAACTGTGCTTCTTTGTTACCATATGGTCTATAGCTGCTTTCCTGAGAGAATTTTAGGGTTTATTAATTACAGCATAAGACTTTATGGTCCTTAACTTCGAAATAAAGTAGTTACTACCTAATCCTTTGCAGAAAAAGCCGACCAACCCTTCTTCAGAATTGAATAGGGACTGTAAAATTTGCAATTACTCTCTGTGACTCTAATAAAGGAAACGAGGCCAGCTATCCTGCAATAATCTGCCAGTTGCAAGCAGCAGCTTCCTTTTAAGTTTCAAATGTGGAGAAATACATATGAGAATTGATAAGTTATGGCAGATAACATCTCACTTAAATGACCTACAGTATTGTGTCCACATGGACTAAGCTCAAATGCTTCATGTTGAAAAGGTGGGGGGGAGGGTTGAAAGTAAGGGTAGATGAGTTTGCAGAATGATGTCAGTGGCAAGACTTACGAGGTATTAAGATCCTACAGTCATACAAATTTCTCTGATTGCAGGTATATATGTCTAGCAATATATTTAAGTATATACGACTAGAAAGAAGGTATGATGCTATGAAGTGGAGCAGAGGCACTAGCAGGAGGAAGGTGGGACACTAAAGAGAAGGTGGACACAGGAGAGAGGTGCTCATCACAGTGTAGAGCTGTGTGTAGGGGGATCTATGCAACACAGCATTATAGACCATGAATACATAACAGCAAAAAAAAAGTTTAAATTGGAAAGATCTGAAGAAAGTGGACAGTGGCTTCTCTCTGGGAAGAGGACAAAGAATCAAGGTGGTAATTTAAGAACAAAGGGGCCTCTTTATCTGTAGTGCTCAGCTCTTAAAAGAGCTGGTCTGCCAATAACAACTTCTTGCATTTATTTTCTGTGGGGCGATGCCTGTGCGTAGGTGTGCATTCCTGTGCCATGGCTTGATCATGGAAGCCAGAGGGAAACATACAAGAGCAGGTTCTCTCCTTCCACCGTGTGAACTCCAAGGTTCAGGCTTAGTAGCGAGAGCTTTTACCTGCCAGGTCATCTCACTGCCCTGACTCCCCCCACAATTGAATTTTAATTTTGATTTTTAGAGCCAAATAGAAGGCCATATAGAATAACTAATAATGGACACATAATAATAAAGGCATCTCAAAACAAAAACATCAAAACAGGGAAAAACCTGAAAGGGGAGAGAGAGAGAGAGAGGGAGAGAGAGAGAGAGAGAAGGAAAGTAATGGTAAATGTAACTTGAAGACACGGGGATGATTGCTTCTTTATCCTATTTCATTATAATTTTAGAGAACTTCATGGGTTGCTAATAAAAAGATGAGTCATGTTCTTTCTGTCTCAATCAAAAGAGATTAAGGTTTGAAAAAGGTACATGTAAATGAATTACCTGACATTACAAACTAATCCTGTTTTTCTACTGGGCATTAAGGTGAAACAGCATGCAAGTCTGGGCCAAACTTCGTCGTTGAAGTCTCTTTTTCTCATAATAGTAGTACAGCTAATCTTTAAAGACGGTGCACTTTATTCCTCACCTCAAATAAGAAAAAAAAAAAAAACCCACCAAGTAGGAAAGTTAAATCTCAAGTGCGTTTCTCTGTTTTTTGCACAGAAATTGCAGTCATGAGTCACCGTGTTGATGTACTAATGCCGTTCCTTTCACGCTGACCTTAGTTGTTTTGAAATGAGCACTGTGGTTTCGCATGGTCTTATAATGCCATGTGCAGTTCAGGTGCCCCTCTCATTAAATTTGTTCGTATTGAGATGTTATCAAGAGCAGGGCTTCCCAAAATGTTCTCTTAGAAAGACGGGGCATTCAAAACTGAGCTGTTAATTCAGCACTGATAAGGGAGATTTGCGTTCTTGCCTCTACTGCCACTTGGGTTTGTTCCATTAGGTTGGCTTGGTAGGTTTGGGTTTTTTGAAACAGGTTTTAGAATGTGGCCCATGCTGGCCTCCAGCTTCTTCTGCCTCAGTCTCTCCCCGACTGAGACCACACACCCACATCACTGTGCCTAGTCTGCTGTTGTCCGCATTGCCTTTCTTTCCCTAGGACTCTTTAACCAAGAGTAGCCATGCTGCTTTCTTTAGCTATCGAGACGCATCAGGAGATAACGGCAGTGTATGGCCATGGTGACCAGGAGGCCGCAGAGTCTAAGACCACGTTCTCAGCCTGCTAAGGCCCCGGAGCAAGGGCTGTGCTTCTCCATGTAATGGCGCTCTTTCTTTTTCAGTTCAATCTCACCGTTTAGTATTGAGAGCACAAGACGCCAGAGACGATCAGAATCCCCAGACTCCAGGAAACGGCGCATTCACAGATGTGACTTTGAAGGATGCAACAAAGTATACACAAAAAGTTCTCACCTGAAGGCACACCGGAGAACACACACAGGTACAGCTCCCGTGGGCTTCTCAGTGGGGGTCAGGGGGAGTGTGAAATGACATCTCACCCGGTCGTTAGTCGGTGACTGACATATTTTGAATTTAGTTCATTCCTTCTGTCTTGTGTACACGTCTTAAATGCTGTGAAAAGAATGAGCTAATCATCTTTCTGGTGATCAACTTAGCCACCTAATAATTATGTAATTTATTGAGTTTAAAAATATCCACAGCGCACCTCAGACAGCAAGCCGAGCAAAATCCTTCCCCTCCTTAGAGCAAACATCTAACCCACCACCATCATTAGGTCACATATGTTCTGTTTTCAATATTATTCCTCCTAAGTATCAGAGAAATAAAACTCAGAATTTACATGCACAAAGCACTGCAGTGTTTTTTTTAAAACCAGTTAAATCCAGTTTGATTCTCCCCAGAGAATCTTGTTGCCTTAGGAGGGGATTTCCAATACTCGCGGAGAAAAGCAATTGATGCAAGAAATTCACAAGTTTGCAACATTTCAATTATTAATCCTTCCAGACACCTGGGGTCCACCCGTGTAGAAAGCACTAATGGTCATTATCAGCCACTGCCCACAAGGTCTTTGTGTGTGTGTGTGTGTGTGTGTGTGTGTGTGTGTCTGTGTGTGTGTCTGTGTGCGTACGCGCGCTGTGTGGCCCTCAGCTGACATTTCCTGGGTACCTTCGACTATGCCATCCCTAGACAAGTGACTCGTGACAGGAGTCAGTGGTATCCAAAGAAGCAGATGAGACAGGGAAACAGTCATAGGCTTTGCAGCTGACTTAGGTCACGGCCAAGTACGTCCTGCCCAGTGTCTATCACTGGCACAGACCAGACGCCAGCATGGTCTTCTCATGGGAAATTTCAAATGGAACAGATTCCTGTGTGGCTGTGTAAACGTGTTCTCCATCGTACCATCAAGATAACCATGCAGGCAACCACTTTTCAGGTGAAGTAGTAAAATCAAAGACTGGCCGTCTTTGCATTTTCTTTAGCCCATGGTGCTACATCTGTTTGCAAAGACATGAGCCAGAGGCTTTAATCGTGCGTGCTGCCTACAGGGGCTGGCAATGGGTACAAGTGCTGTAAGCCTATGGGTCTAAGCAGAGTTTCATCACTCCACTATTGCACGCATGAACATATCTTGTCATGCTGGGTGTTACTGAGGCTCACAGGGTTTACAACTGAGTAAAACTGTTGATGACTCACGCTGCCTCATCAGCCTGCACTGCACCTTCCAGTACTATGACAGCTAGCCAATAGGAAGCAAGCTTCCTGGTCAGTACTAACTAGATTTCTCCATACCCTGTGACCAAAGTCTGCTATGACTTTAGCAATGGGGTCTGACCACCAAGCTCTGGTGGGTATCCAAGGACAATGAGAAAAGCTTGTATTGTTTGGGGGGGGTCTCTGGGACACCCCTGATCAACTCAGGGAGAAATGTCCCTCCCATACCAAGCACAGGGTGTTATATTTGGCAGACTGTGACTTCAGAGTAAAGTAGTATCTTTGTATCAAGGGCAACCCCAGTTAAACAGGGAGGCAGCCAGGGGAAATGGCAATTGCCTATGCTTTTGTACAGGTCTTTTGGACCCTACTAACCAGTGTCCATTGCTAGGAACCGGAGTTTTTGCTAGTCTATGGTTTCTGATGGCCTCTCCTACACGTCGCCTCGGATGACAGCCCCCTCCCCTTTCTCCTTACCTCCAGGCTCCCCCCCCTCTCCTTCAATTGTGAACTTCCCCGTGAGACATTTTCACCTGTTTCTCAGGCACTACTTTTAGTTTTGTGGTTCGCTTATTTATTTCCTGCGGATCTGGGAAGGGAACCCACAGCATTACACATGCTGCCAAGGGATGGACCCCTGAGCGCCATCCTCAGCCCACTGGACTGTTTTTAAATCACCTTCTTAAACATTAAGGCAAAATAAAAAATGAACATAAAGACATGGAACTCCACATGTATCTACTATTAAGAGATGAAAAACAGAAATAATGGCAGCAAGTGTGATGGGACCGTGTCACTGATTGTTGGGGGACAATTTCCACACCCACGTACGCACACACACAGACACACAAATTGCCTTCAGGGGATCATCACATAGGTTGAGCTGCTCCCATTCTCCTTGAGCTTTCTGGAACATATATTCACCTCATTTCCACATAGATACCCCTGCTCTGTTTATTCAGTGATACACAGTGAAAGAGGGGAGGGTTTTTCATCACATGTGATTAAAGGGCATTTTTCCCCAGCACTGCTGGATTGCATCTTACAAATTTTGATGCACACCAAGTGAGGAGAAGGGATGCCATGTATTCACCCCCATTCAAAGCAACATAAACCTTGAGTGCTGAAGCTGGATTAATGAGCTGGACTTATTAAAAAGATGACCTCATAGACTTTGAAGGTCACAGTGGCCTTACACGTAAGAACATAGAATATGTTTTCTAATTAGAGGGAGCCCTTGCCTGTCATGTCTCACAGGAACAAGTCGCCACTCTGCTGTTTCCTGCACACTTGCGCATCTTGTGTCTTCCTCAGTCTGCTTGGTGACCTGGCAGCTGCAGCTGTTGAGATCTTTCTCACACAGACACAGCTGCCCCAGCGCTAGGTCTCCCGCTCTCCCTATAAATGCGCACGCACTAGCAGCTTATTTGCCAGCAGGACATTTTGAGGAATTGGAAGACAGAGGCCTATTCTTTGTCAGTGTGCCTCCATCTCTTATGGTGCAGTTTGGGGCGCCCAGATGAATGGAGCTCCCTCGAGTGACCACGCATTTGCTGTCCCCGACCGGCTCTAATGGTCTTCTCGGCCCCACTGTGAGCCACAGCATCCTCCTGATCTCCAGTTCGGATACTCCCCATTTTGTCAGCCGTACCTTGTCACATTGACTTAAGGACACATTGTGGTCCTTATGTGTTGAGGGAAGAGACCCTCTTTATGACCATCTCTGAATGTGAACAATTTGCACTGAAGCTTTCTGGGAGTTGACTCCCTAGGGTCACCTCGATCAAGGAGTGTTGCCAACTAGGTCTAGTATATCTGCTGCAGTAGAAACGGAGGTCTCTCTGCTTGACTTGAAATCCTGGAGCCACTCCTGAAATGACTTCCCTGGAAGTGATGCTGGGGCAACAACTGGAGACAAAGGACAAATTGCTAGAATATTGTCAGGCTTGGAGTTTATCTACACTTTTCCCAATCTAGAAATAAGTATTATAAGTCCCCATAGTGACTCGATTGTAACATGTTGAATTCAATAATCTGGAAACATCTGAATGGTCCCTCCCATCTTTCTCCTTCAATGTCTCCATCTTTGCCAGTTAATCGTGGGCAGATTGAACATGACAAATGCAAAGAAAATGCCCACCGTGGGGCAGGCTGTCAGGTCTTTTAAACCACTAACTATGCTGCCTCTAGTCTGCATCAAAATATCTCTGCTAAATTTCTGCTCAAAGCCCCAAATGTACCAAATCCATTCACTCACTGAGCACAGGATTACTTAGAGCAGACCTCTGTATCCAAAGGGTCTGCTTCTGTGTGTTCAACTAGGCCTGGGCTGTGCTCAACCTCTGTGGGCTTCTTTTGTCAGCACTCCTCAGCTGTGTCTCTAGCAGCTGTGGGAAGTATTTGCATTGTATCAGGTACTGTAAGTAACGAGATCTTATCGCAAGGATACAAGAAGATGTGTGGAGGTTGCATGCAAATAGCTCACTGGTTTCTGTCTTAAGCCTTGAACATGAGTTTTGTTATCCAAAGGGGCTGGGGACCGGGCGAGAACCGGTTTTCTGGTACTAAGGGACCACTCTAGTCTGTGCAGTCGTAGTCTCTTGAACCGACAGTTAAAAGTGGCATTATTGTCCAATAGGGAGAAAGAGTAAAATTTGGTGAACTTGTTGAAACTGGTGACAAGTGATCCCAGGCTAGCTTATAATTTATAATTACACACAAGATTTCACAACCTGGTGAGTAAAATGTAATCAACACTGGTTCTATAGAAATTCGGGCTGGCTCGCATGCTTTTAATAAACATCTTCTTAGCCTTACCTTTGCTTCAGGCATGTTGAGTAAGATCCTTATGTGTGACCAATAATACTTAATGTGGAGCTTGGGATTAGAACAGATGACTTATGAAATCCAAGCACGCTATGGGAGGGGAGCGTGCTGCAGTGAGAAACTTGCTTTAAGGAAGTCACAGTCATTTTCCTGTGAAAACTTTAACTTTCTGCAATTTGCTAGTGCCTCATCAGTTGTGTGTGTCCTTAGATTAAATTAATTAAATTTCCTTAAATTAAAGTTGTAAACAGTTGTAGGGATGCAGAAAAAGGCCCCTTTCGAGATATTAGCAATAAGCAGTTTGGAGAGAATTTAAATTTAAAAGTAGTTTGTTATTGTGTAACTTAGGTACTAACACGGATATGTTAGCAAGTATTTGGAAATGTTGTAGCAAACCCTGTGCAGGCTACATTGTTAAAGAAACATCACAAAGAGAAAATGTAGCTCAAGAGCCACACTTTCTCCAGCAGGCCTGTTGTTCATAGCCTCTTCTCTGCATTGGGTCTTTCTCCCACTCAGTGATGTATACATTATATTTAAATGAAAATGCAGAAGATTTAAATTAATGGAGTCATATTTGTGCTGTGAATAACTGCTGTTGACTCTCTTCATTTAAAGATAGTGCATGGTATATTAAATTATTTAAGCATGCATTTTTAAAATAAAACATGGGTATAATTTAGAATGCTCACATATTGGCTAAAGCACTGGTTCTCAACCTGTAGGTCAAGACCCTTTGGAGGGTCAAATGAACCCTTCAGAGGGGTTGCCTAATACCATTAGAAGACAGATATTTCCATTAGATTCAAGACAGTACCAAAACTACACTTTTTATGGTTGGAGGTCACTACAACAGGGGGAACTCTTTTAAGGGGTGGCAGCATTAGGAAGGTTGAGAGTCACTGGAAGCTTAAATGCTATAGTAATTTCTACAGTGTTGGT